AAATCTGGGCAGCTAATATGGGATTCAGAAGAGGAGGCTCAGTCAAGGATTATTTAGTCTGGCCCGCTGGCCTCGCTCTCACTGTTTCCTCCTCAACTTCAATAATAAGCAGGAAGTTCTCCACTCATGACTATGTATGCGGCGGTTCTCCTCGGCCTCCTCGCCGTCTCTCCTGCTGATGTTCTCTTTAGTTACAACCTTTTATCTTTCATCTCGTTTCCTCTTTAGTCTTTAGAGGCAATTATCATCTCACTTCACAAATATAGATAAATAACCGGTTCTTGTGAAGATTCGTTGGGATGAATGAACCCTCCTACACCGCTACCCCCCCTCATTTATTTTTTTTGGACAAAGCCCAAACCTTCTGATACTGCTCTTTGGAGGAACAAAAAAAAAGAATCATTTTGAATATTTCTAATTTATTTTCTCTTTGACTTTGATATTCTCCAGGAAACGTCTGTGTTCTTTTCCAGAGGTACAGTAGGAAGTGAGCGCCGCGGTACTGTGTTAGCATCACGCTGGCGGAGGAGGTCATGGGTTCAAGGTTTAATTGGGATGGAATGGAATTCTTGTAAGGAAAATTACACCTGCCTTTGAATGGGCCCAGAGGTGTGTAAGTGGTTAAACGTGAACTGTGCCATTCATGGAAGGGTTGAGTCCGAACCATTTTTAAGGTTTAGGGTCGGGGGAGGTGCTGGTCTTGTGATGCTAATACGTATGAATGGAGAGCAAACAAACAATTGTGTGACACTGCTGTTAAACTATAGTATTTACTGTCATTCATCAAAACATAGTTACCCACCTGATGTCTATGTATTATGAGATAATACTAAGTTAAAAAAATGTTTTTACCTTGTCTACCCACAGAAGCAAAACAAACCTCAAATGATAACCAGAAGTCAATTTAGGATCATTTCAAAGTGGGGGGCGGGGCCCTTCACTGGGCTTGGGGCTGGGCTTCGTTTATAAACTGTCAAATATCATTGTATTTGAGATTACAAAACATAGCCTTTTGTAGAACTAACTTGTAGAACTTTCCAATGAATTAATCAAAAATTAATTACACTTAACTACAATATTTTAACAAAAATTAAGATTAAAATCCCTTTATTTAAAAAAATTAAATCAACAATCAGAGATACCGACCTGATTAATGATTCTCTGTCCGTCCATAATGGAGTCACATCAAGAAAATGAATCAGGATCTGAAAGAAGAAAATAATAATATAAAAACACTTTACTAACACGTCCCTTCCTTCACACAGTGATTCAATCAGAGTGTAATTAACCAGTCTGTGACTGTATTCACTGTTCTGTCCTGGTTTTACCTCCAGTTGTTTTCTGCCATCAACTGTAGAGACTCCTCATCCCCCCCCGACTCCCCCTGACTCCCCCCGACTGCTGGCTGTGGATACAGTGCTGTGGCCGGCTGCAGGTGGCAGGAGGTGATCTGTATTTAAAAATGCAAAATGACATCTAATGTTTAGCGTGGCTGCTTGTTTCCCAGACACTGGAATGACCTGACCATCTGCTCCCCCTGGTCAGACGCGAGCTCTGCTCCTGGCAGGGCTGAGAGCCGTTCCACTGGCCTCCATCTCAGAGGACACCCAGTATTATCAGATTTCTCTTCCCAGGAAAAAAAAGAAAAAGAAAAAAAAAAGAGAGAGAGACAGAGACAGTGGCACTGTGAAAATAACAATATGCTTAGAGAAAGGAACGGGGGTGAAGGTGGAGGATAAAATAATTGGAACGGAGGGAGTGGGGCAACAATAACAACAAGTTGTCTCACTAGCAGCCAGATACTGTCACATTATGGATGGAATCACTTCAGAAGGACGGAGAATTAATATCCTAATGAAGCTTCCACCGGCCATTAGTGGCGTGTAATGTGGCTCCGGGGGCCGAGGATAGATGTCCAGCAGCTTTAAGTCCTTATTTGTGCGCAGTCACCTCGGCAGTTGCTTTTATTAGGGTAACATTAGAGGAAAAGGGATGATGCAGGAGAGAGCTAGCCTTTTATTACTGCGGTTCCCAGGGAGCCGTGCTCTACCTGTCACCGCCACACAGAGCATGCTGCTTTAGTTCATTTTACAGCTAAATATCGCCGTTACTGATGTCTCTGTCTGCGGAACAACATTTGGGCCATTATCACCCGAGCGTCCGAGCGTTGTCTGCTGAAGAGTTATTTGGCGAAATGCTTCACACTGGGACCAAAAAAAAAAAAAAAAGGAATTTTCTCCATCGACATGGGTGAATATATATATATATTTCATTCACACTTTTCATTCATATTAATACACTACATTCTCTGTCCCCCACCTCCCCCAAACTCCCCCATCCTCCAGCGCCTTCTTCTTCCTTTGACAGGACCAGTGCCTCTACTTTTTTTTTTATCTCCTCACATTTTCAGGGAATGAATTACTCTCCTCTGTCACTGGGCTCTGGCCGTGAATTCATTTTAGTGGGTCAAATGTTTCAGAATGTCATCTTTGACAGGAAC